GTCAACTTTCCGAAGAACAATTTGTTCTCGTAAAGACGGTGAGGCTGGTTTATGTCGTGCTTGCACTACAACTCTACCCTGCAAAACTAATTATCAACCAAATGGCACTAGTAACAACAACTCATAACTAGTGATCCAGTTAATTACCTTTAAAGACGAAGTTCCCGCTTTATTTGTAGCATCGCACTGATACCAACCGCCATCACTCATTTTTGCTCCAATTATCTGTAAGGTAGATTCTCCACCGCCTTTATTCTCTATCCTGAAATAAAGCTAACTTTTACACAACAATAAAAAAGAAAAAATTAAAAGATTTTTTGTAGAAAAAAGTGGAATGATACTTCTAGAAAAAGTGAATAAGCAAAAACAAAAAGATGAATAGTTAAGTAATATATGAAAGAGTTATAATTTCTGCCTTGTTTAATAAACATACTTGTATTTCTGACTGGGTACTATTGGGGCACCGTCTTTAAGCCAACATGTGCTTACGCCTTCACCGCTTGCTTTACAATAAAGCGTCAAGGAGTCCCCTTCAAATACGGTAACAGACTGGAATTTACCGACAAACTGAGGTGCAGCGGTTTTCGCTTCTTCTAAATTGAAAAAATTCATTACAAAGCACTGTTTAAAGTCAAAAGTACAGCATGTTTCTTGAAACATACATAAAAATTAAAAATAAACAAAGCATAATTTTTCAACTTACGAAGAACATTTAAATAACATCTGGCTTGTGCAGTTCCTCCACTATTTTCCGCTACGCAAAAGTAAGTGTCAACATCATTGGCATTACATTTATCAATCTTCAATTGTGAAGATCCATCGCCAAAATTTACAATGTGAACTCTGCCGCCCTCTGTTAACAATGAACCGTCAGAATGATACCAGGTTAGCCGAGGTGAAGGCTGTCCAGAAACCTAAATTAGTTTTGAAAATTATTTAGTTTTTGACCAAATTTAATGAAGAAAAGTTTTTTATGACAAAACAAAAGAAACTGATATCAACAAAATCTTACTCTTGCTTCAAATAAAACACTATTTCCTTCTACGACTGATGCAGAAGTAGGTAAGCGAATGAACTGAGGCGGCTTGTCTCCAACTGCCGGAGAAACTCGGTCATCCCTTTGTCTCGTAACGTTCATCCGTGGGCTTGGTATCCGCTGTTGAACTGGACCAGTTCGAACATTCTGATTTAACTGACTCTATAAATTAAGTAACCATTTCAGTTTGTTTTTCATAAAAAGAACAAATTTCCAAAAATGGAACAGGATTTTTTCAATTGATTTTTAAAATCTTAGCTTTTACCCTTTGCCTCTCTTGCAAAGGCGTTTTTTGCATAGCTGCTGATGGTGATGACATTTGTATATAATTTCGAGAGTAGTCCTCTGGTTGCCTAAATTGCTGTGAGTTGCTGTATTGCTGCTGATAAGTGTAGTCAAATTCTGCTGGTAGTGTCTGATATTGTTGTCCTTGATAATCCTATAAAGATTTTGCTCTGCCATTGGAGGAACAATTAGTATGTAAGCTAAGGTTACTTTAAAAGCTATAAAGAAGTGGTGCATTCTTTAATAAATTAATTAAAAAACTATACAGAAAACTTTTTCAAGTTATGTGAAAATTATATGGCAGCTAGCTCACTCTTTCTCTTACTGCTAGCCTAGCCCGAGGTGCCGCAACCGGTAGAGTTTGAAACTGTTGATACCAGGTCTAAGAAAACACTGTTACACATATAAAAAACAGTTATCACAGTAAGTAAACCTATAATTGTTAAAATCTATATAAATGTGAAAATAACTTTCTTTTTTGAAAAAGGCCAGATTAAAAATTTTAGCTTAAAAAAACTACATTGAAAGTTCACTGTTGTAAATGCTAGTCGTAGAAAACGCAATAAAAAAACCCATCAAAATTGCTATAGTAGCGAAATGTTCAGACGAATCTAATCTGGTTTAACAGCGATCACAAGTGTGAACTCTTTGATCAGCCAATAATAAAATAGCAAAAAATATGTTAGCAAAAAGACCCCAAAACAGTTGTATCAGTATACCTTAAAGATCAAGTTTTTTTGGAAAAAGTGTTATGTGATTTGCCCAGTTCTGTTACTTCCATAATAAAAAAAAAAGAAAAAAACAATTCCCATAACTTCAATACACTCGCCGTTACACTCTCTCCTTCCATAAAAGTGAAAAAAAAATAGTTTATTTTTGACTGTCGTCGTCGCACCATCAGCTACAGATTAAAAAATATACAGTTTTCTATTAACTAACTTCTTGATCGGGCACAGTTCTGCGATGAAAGTCCTGTTCAGTCGCTACCTGTGATGGATATCGGTTTTCCTTCAAAAAAAATTATTCCCTTGAATCCAGATGTTCAAAATTAGTAAAACAAGAACAGTAACAGCAAAAAAAGCAAAGCCACAGTGAAGCATACGGAGAAAAAATGAATATAAAAGAAAGCAAATAAGATGTGAAATTTAGTTAAACAGCTGTTAATGACTTAGTAGTTAGTTCTCTGCACAAAATCTATGATTGCCGCCCTGTTCAAGGGCAACGGTGCTAAACCAAAGACTTAGACGCTAAAACTACAGCAGCAACAACGGATTGCTTTTTATTGCCATTTACAATATTTCCAACTTTCTCGAAAATTTTACCACTGTATATCATCTTAACTTACTGTCCATTTCTTCTGCTTTCTATGGTCTTTGAAAAGATAACTATTTACAACAGACCAACATCTTAGACGAACTTACTTGTAAATATGAGGCTTGCTGAACGTATGGATATTGTTCCTAAAAGTTAAGAAATCAAGTTATTTCTTTGCCGATCGGAACTAACGTACAAGAAAGACAAGAAGAAACATAGCTCAAAGTTATTACGTCAAATTAATTTGATTCGTTCAAAAAAAGCTCATTGGTATTATTTGTTGAAGAAAGTACTTTAACGACAGCAAAAAACAAAAGCCTAATCCAGATAAAATCGAGCAAAACTACCAAAACAGAAACTCTGATTTCTGCATATGTTTTCTAGAAAAAAAAGCAAAAAAACGCAAAACAATTTATCATATACTATCTAATGAAAAATAACCGAGTAAGCAGCAACAATAATATCTTTGAAAAATGCTGTGGTTGAAACAATTCAAAAAAAAAATTTTTCTTTTTTGCAATACTTAATCAATTTCTAATTCTCTTTTCAGCCTCCAGCTTAGCCGCTACCAAATCAGAGTAAAAAGCTAAAATGTTTTGAGAAAAGAATAAACAGTTCAGTTTTTTTTGCTACTTTAATACTTCTCTTTTCAATTTTTTCTTTTGAAGAAATTTTTGAGAGAAATTAGTGGAGTAATATTACTACCGTTGGATATGTTCGCTGTGCGTATTGCGGCAGCTGAGGAGCGTGCCTCACTGATTTTTGCTTTAATGGTTGTGGTTCCTGAAATAAGCATCAACGGCTAATTTTTTTTAAAATTTTTGTTGGTACAAATCAACAAAACCATAATACAATTACAGTATCAATAATTTCTTCAACTTTTTTAAATAAAATTTTCAAAGCATTCAAAAAGCCGCAGTAAAAGAACCAAACAAAAAATTTGATGGCTGAAGAAAAAAGGAAGAAAAAAGTTGATGAATAACGCAAAGAGAACCGATAGCACAGGTATGAAACACGATAGCTTTCTTTAAAGTTTCTCAACAGTAAACGGTTCAATATCAGATTTTATCCATTAGACATCCATGCTTTTAGTATGCTATATGTTTACTATCGCGGCAAAAAATTGTCGTTTTGAATGAAAAAAGCGTTACTGCTTCTTGCAAACCATTCTCATTATTACTGTTTACCAACACCTCATTTCCATCTTTAAAAAATAAAGAAACTTTATTTCAAGCATGAAAAAAGCAGAAAATTGGTTAGAAAGAGCAAAACTTGATGCAGCAAGAAGGAAGCAGCAATTTAGAGTGAACAAAAAGTAAAAATAAAAACAAAGACAAACTTGCGTTTTCTAAATGAATCACTGTTGTCCTGCGATGTATAAAACAGATATAAATTACCTGATATTGTAATGGTAGCTGTTGTGGTCTACTAGGATAACTATGAGTGTATTGTAAGTTTCGATCGTCCCTAGTCAGAGGTCGTTCATCTGGTATATGCAATGGATATACTTCTACTCGTCCGCTGCTCTCAACCTATCAATTCATCTTATCTAAGGTTGTGTTTTTTTCTTATTCCATCATAATTAACCTTTCAAAAAAAAAGCCTCATTTCAAAGGATAAACAAAACTCTTGAATTAATGTCATTAATATTGGTTGCAGCCAAAGTGCAGTTCGCGACAATGCTACAGCTAAAAAAGATTGATACGTATCAATTTCATCAGTATAAAGTGTTTCAAAAGAGGGAGGCTGAGATAGTTTGTGTTGAAAATCTGTAAAAGAAAAAACCGAACCGAGTAAATATTATCGACTTGTATAATATACCAACAGGAAGACAATCATCTTAGTGAGCATTTATTAGAAATGACGGGAAAATGTTTAAGTGACAAAACTCGTTCTTAAAGCAATGTGACAAAAAAAAAA